ATCTGTCGGCTGGAAACATTTTTAAAGTATTTCTGGCTTCAATTGAAGAATTGATGCCAGAAATAAGGGATCCCTGTACTTAACATGTCCATGGAAAGCAGGCAGCTGTGTGGTCACCTGCAGCCCTAGTCCACAGTACAAAGCTCTATGCCAAATGTTTACATTTTGTATCGCAGATTATTGACCTCCCGCCCCCACACACACACACTTTTCTCTCCTATCCATCCTTCTCGGCTCATCGTTGTGCAGCATGTGGTTTATCAGAGCTGATGACAAATTTGTTTATGAGCAGAGAGAGCTTTTCTGTCTTTCATTATTTTTTTTTATTTTTTTTTTCCTGCCACATCCAATCAAAGGTTAACCTCATTCCCTCAGTTTCCCCTCCAGCCTTTTCCCTCTCTGCAGGATGCCTCTCCAGTTGACATGAGATTGAATTATTCTTACTCCTAAACTGGAGTGGACTCTAACAATAGACTGTTGGGAGAGCAAATATATACATTACATATGTGAACCTGAACCCGGTGTTTTAGGGGTGTTGTCTGTGTGATATACTCGGATATGGAATGTAGAAATAGAGTGAAATCAACCTTTGCTTATACCAACAGAATCCAACAGTAAACTAAACTCTTACATTTGAGTAATGTATTTTTTGCTCACGTTTCTCCGATGGAACTCTATGTCTAAAATGTATGTTGATTATACGTATATGGAAGATGATTCTGAAAGCCCAAACTGTCGACTTTGACTGTTTTCCTCCCGGCCCTTTTTAGTACAGACATGTTTGGGATTTATCTACACATGCACACTTTCCAAAGACTTAAATACACACACATACCGCAGCACCGCTAATATCCCTGTCGGAGGTGGTAGAAGTGCCAGGCATTATCAATTAATCTTTCCTGTGTTTTTTTTTTTCTTTTTTCTCTCTGTCAGTGAGTGGGACCATATGGTTCTCTGTCAGCCACTGCTTTTAATTTACCCCTATCGTCTGCTGTGAAAACATCGGATGTAAATTGCTGATTTGATAAAGGGAGTGTGAGGAGACATGAAGGAGAGTGCTGCACTGTACACGCGGTGCGATGCATGCACAATGTCATGCAGGCAGTACTGGGAGTGTCAAACAAAGTACACTGACGCAGACTTTAACACGAGTTAAGGATTTCTACAAACACACCTTCTTTAGGGACATCGGAGGAAATGATCTTTGAAACTGATCGATTATTCCTGTCAATGACGTCATTTGAATTTTTAACCCTGACATTCTGGGCTGAGCCTGTTTTGGTTTTTTTTTTTGGTTTTTTTTGTAGATTATTTATTTTATTTAAACCATCACTGAAACGTTCTACTTTTATTTTTCCCTCTTTGTTAAAAAATTTTCTACTTTTATTTTTCCCTCTTTGTTAATTGTTTTACTGGTTTCCTGTTGACTTGAACGCACACGCTGCCTCATTCTCGCAGGGTTGAATTAATATGCAGCTAAAAGTGAAAAGCTCAAGGTTACATACATTTCCCTCAGCACCGGGCTGCAGAACAATGACTAGATGTTTTTCTGAAAGCACCGGGGGGGAGGGGGGGTCAGGAGCAGAGCTATTTTATCTGCCCTGCTGCGTGTGGGTGTAAAAAGGGCAGAGGTGAAGATGGAGAGGTCCTCTCTGGTATGGAGGAGGGGTTAAGGACAGATGTGTGCGCTGCGTTTTTTTTTCTGGATGTGAAGGTCTCAGGTGAAAAAGAGAATATGTGGAATGAATTTAGAGGACGGTGAATTTCTGTGTGTGTGTGGGGGGGGAGAGGGGAGGGGGGTATGTGGCACTGTGTGATGGATGAGCTGTGCTCATGTGGTCTCTCACCACAGATATTATGGTCAAACAGACAATCCATCAGTGCATATTGGACCAGAGGATTCCTCCAATAACACCAGACCTGTGCAAGTAAATGTGTAAATCCTCCTTTTCCCACTCTTTAAGAAGAGAAGCAAAAAAATGTATATTTTCAAAATGGATGCAGTGAGTTATATAAATATAAATATAAATATAAATATAAATATAAATATAAATATAAATATAAATATAAATATAAATATAAATATAAATGACGCTGTCCAGTTGGGTGGACGACCATATTTAAAGCTTGGCTTATGATCTCCTGATTTTTTTTTTTTGCGCTGATTAAAATTCATGATTGCTGCTTAAACGGTTTGAAATATTTTGCTGTGACTCACTGGGTTATTATTTCTAACAAAGCTTGAAAACGGACCGAAACAATTACGGAAGAAAAGAAAACTAAGTAAACAAAAAAGTAAAAAAAAAACAAAAGTTGAATTTTAAGAATTTTTGGATGGATTCCCATGTTTCTACTCCATCTACGTTTATGTAAATACACCTCGGTTCATTTGGGTGTATATAGGTCAGTTTCAAGGGGAGCTCATTTCAATGACTTGATTGGTGGGTTTTTGTTGAAAAAGAAAAGTCCACTTTTTTTGTACAAAATAAAATCTTTTTTGCTTCTTAGAGATTAGGATTTTATATTCAGTTGCTGAAAATACTTTCATTTGTAACCTAGTCTTAACCTAGGTTACAAATACCTAGACGTATCTTAGATTAGTGACCAATAAACTAATAAAATCCTTACAATGAAAAAAAAGACAATTTTTCAAAGTCAAATATATAAGTACTCCAAATTGAGTTCCTATAAAGCAACATTTTTCCAACAAAGAGACTCGGTAATTATACGAGGGAGCAGTACATGATAATGAAGCCTTCTGAGAGACAGCGTGTTAGTCATCGTAATAATCAGCAGCAGCAGCAGCAGCAGCAGCAGCAGTGGTGGTGTTGTTAACAACCAGCCTGGCTCCTGTGCTCAGGTGGTCTGTAGGGAGGGCCAATCATCACAGGGTCGGCTCTGCCTAATGAGCGGATCTCCATGATCTGGCATCAAGGAGAGGCTAACCTGACCCTCACTCCTCCAGACCTCCCAGCTCCAGGCACCAGCTGCAGACATGCATCCCGGTACAGGATGACATCAAACATCACACACCCGGGTTGTATCTCATTGACCTCAGCCATCACATTATATTTTGGTCCTGATTTCAAGGCTAGAGTTCTGAGACCTTACGTGGAGAAACTGAAAAGTAGCTGTGCCTCAGTTTTTATTTTAGAGTAATGTGAAATTGAAAAAAAAAAGTATAAATACAAAGCATTATTGTGATACAAATAGACTATACTGTGCAGTAACTTGATCTTCTTTCTGGTGTCTCATGCTGTATAGTCAGAGCATCTTCCATGCTGCCACCTTCTATGTTTTTGCTACACATTAACAATGAGCGGATTAACATGACTGCGTGAAAAATAAATGTTTTTTTTCTCGTGTCAATGAATTAAAAAAACCTTGCATATCCGACTTAAAAAAATGTTTTGAATGTTTTTCTTTGTAAATAATAATGTCAGTTACTTTCTGTTCAGTAAACCTTGAGCTTTTTTAGCACATCATCGGGTCAATTCTCATCTTCTCATTCAAATCCATATCTCTCTATCTCTCTCTCTCTATCCATCCATCCATCATCTTTCTCTATCTTTCTCTCTCTCTCTATCCATCCATCCTTCTGTCCATCCATCCTTCTGTCCATCCATCCGTTCATCCATCTATCCATCCATCCATCTATCTATCTATGTATCATCCATCCATCCATCCATATATCATCCATCCATTCATCCATCCATCCATCTGTCCATCCATCCATTCATCCATCTATCATACATCTAATAATAATAATAATAATAAATTTTATTTAAAAAGCGCCCATGCATCCATGCATCCATCTATCTATGTGTCCATCCATCCATATATCATCCATCCATTCA